ATAAATTATAAGATGTTAATTATATTTTTTAATAATATTTTTATTTAAATTTATTAATTATGAGAGGGAATGCAATGTAAGTTTAAAATTTTTTTAATTAAAAAGGAGATAAAATTAAAATAATATTTTATTTTTAGATAACATTAACTTAACCACATATATTTAATTTTGGTGAGGTAGATAGAAATGTTAATAAAGACATAAGAGAATATCCAGCAATAATTAACAAGTTAAATATTATTGATAACTTAAGAAAAACAGGAAATTTTAGAATAATTTTATGATTTCATGAAATTTTTTATATTTAAAGTGTCTTAAAAAAACCTCAACTCAAAGTGATTTTTTTTCTTCAAAAAGAATAACATTTTTTGCCCGGACAGGTTGTACACATAGCAACAGGTAGAAAATATAGATAAAGTGAATGAGTAGAATGGAATCATATCTTTTCCTTCCTTTTTCTTTTTCCAATGCTCTTTAGTCAACTTAGAGTCTTAGACCCCCTTACCTTCTTCTGTTTAATTTAATATTAACCATTTCTTTTTCTGATTATAGTACATGCTCTCAAATAATGGAGGATGCACATTAAATGAGTGATAAGACCTTCATTATATGTTTTACTATTCTTCCTATTGATTTTTTATAGTTTTTGTAAAATACTTTTTTTCAGTGTATTTAACTATTAATTAATATAGCTTCTAACGCCCTTGGTTTCAAAAACATAGTAGCTTATTCTACTGTTTTTTTCCCCGCCTGGAATAGAAAGTTATTGAACATAAAAGACTTAGATCCTAGCAAGCATACATGAAGAAAAAATATTCAAGTCAATTTTGAAACAAACGAAAAAAAAGAATTTTTTTACTTTTTATTAATATTTATTTTTACTAAAAAATTAACATATTATATAAAAATGGTTTTGTGAACAAAAATAAAATCTTACAAAAGAAGGAAGCCATGGTGTTTGATTTTCATACAGATTGGTGTAGGTTTTCAAAATAAAAAATATTTATAATTAATTTAAAATATAAAATGAAGAGAGAGTTAGAGTATTTTATCATTGTAATTTTTATTTTAATTACAAAAATAATTGAAAAATTAAAATTATAAATAATTAAGGTCTGTAAATGTAATTGTTCTGAAATATAAAGGAAAACAGTTGTCATGCTTTGCAAAAGTAAGTTTCAAATCAGTATGACTAAATGAAACTAGACCCCTCTTGAAAAGACTCGTCATGCTGCGCACAATTATTCACACTTCACATAGGTTTCATAAAAAAAAATTGAAAACCATGCAAAATAGTTAAATAAATTATTGCATTTAAAGTCCACCGACTTTAATAATATAATCTGCATGATTGAAATCAATCAGCCTGCTTCATTTATTATGCATAACTAAAGACAAAGTCTTTCAAAATCTGATCCAAGAGAAAATCCTCAATATATTAATTGTAATGTATAATACATCACAAGATTCATAACTCAGAGACTAATTTCTCAAAATAAATAATGGAGTAAAATGTCTATTTTCAACTTAATGTCAAAATCAAACTCATCATCAACTGTATTTTCTTGATCTATTTTCAATATGAATGCTTGATCAATGACATTCAAGTTGGTTCAGTAGGCGCTATTTTGCTTGCAAAATAAAATAAAAATAATTAGAATGATAATCATAAGAGCATGATAAATTTTGTATATATATTTTACTTTTAATGTAATGAACCAATCAATTCAACTAAAGAGGTTTTCAGCGAGAATGGTAAGTTTAAAATTCAGTCTTCTAATCTAATTACAGTTAAAATCAGTGTGAAAACCCTAACAATATTCCTTGCAATTTATTAACAGTATCTTACTGGCTTAGGGAACTGGTTACTGATAAAATTTAATCCAATGAACATAATCCAAAGCTAGATATGATCTTGAAACATTATAATCAAGAAGATAGATGATACTCTTAATTTTAATGTCATCAATATCAAGTTGAGATATAATTTTACATATGGAAAGCTGACCATATAGATGATTCCAATAACAGATAAAAACTCTGTATAGAGACAATAATATAATGAAGAGAGAAGGATAGGGAATAAAAAGAAAAAGAAAAACATAGAGATTAAAATCAAAAGAAAACCCTAGGGATTTCTCTCTGTGTTTGATTTCCATTTCTTCTGAGGAATGTTATTACCAATAGGGTTGGGACCTGAGTGCACTTCATGCAGTACTTTCCTTTGAACATGTTCTCTTCTACCTCCAAGCTGAATGATGAAAGGGAAAAAAATAATGATTAGAGAACAACTATAAAGATATTGAAGATGGATAGTCAAAGATAGTTGAATAGGATTATCTCCGATGAAAGAATATATCTCTGTGCGTAATAAAAAAAAAAAATCAAACATAGATGATCTCAGTACATGGTACTCACCATATGTTGATGATGATTCGTTGAAGCTTCAGTGATTTGCTTGATCTTAGGTCTAATGGTGACGCTTGGACTTGGAAAGGAGATTGATACAAGAAGAAGAAGGAAGAAGAAGATAGAAGAGTTCATTTTTTAGGTTTCATGAAGGAGGAAGTTGCAAGCGGTTTAATTTGAGAGAAAATGAATACCCCTTATTTCTATCTGCTCGATTTTCTTTACCTTCTCAAAGGAAATATATATATATATATATATATATATATGAGATCTTTATTGAAACATATATTTCACCAATAGTGATTGAATATAGTAAGAATGACTTAATGTCTTTAAGTAAGATCTTAATTTTAAATCTTATATATGAACAAAAATTAAATTACAAATTATTTTTGAAAGAGTTTTTAATGTTTAAAAATATACTCCATCTATTAAAAAATATAACACATTTTTAATCAAATATCACTTCTTAATAAAGTAACAAACTAACATCATCTTTCCATATATATTTAACCTAATTTAATAAAATATTTTATTTTAAATAAATATAAAGTGATTTATTTATTATGAGTACTTTTAAAAACACATTAATTATATATCAAAATATTAAAAATATTTTATATTTTTAAATACTCAATATCTCAAAAAAATTTATATTTTTTAACAAAGAGGATATGTTCTATGATTAAGGGAAAAAAACACGTTTTACCCATAAGAATTGGGTCAATAGGAGAATTAAATTGTATATACTAAAATGTCTTTTTAGTTCACTTCTTCATGTCGGTGACATTTGAATGATTGTTATTCACTAATTAAAGTGAATCTTGCTTTGAATTTAAAACAATTTATCTAATTATTTAGTTTTTCTATGCAAAAAAAAAAAGACGTGCTTTGTTAATAGAAATTGGCCCCATTGGTAGAATCAAGGTGCATGGATGGGAAAAAAAAGAATCTTCTGTTTGATTTGCTAATAATTGTTGTTTAGTGGTAAACATTAATCACTATGAGTATTGTCCTAAAGATAAACTTATTTATGTTTTTTAACGTAAACCAATTTATCTAATTATTAGTATGTTAACGTTTTTGTGAAAAAAAAAAAGACTTTTTTGTCATTAAGAGTCAGCATTCTTGGTACTAGTAAGAAAGACTTACGTCTCCAAAAAAATGCATTTTTGGTGTCCTCGTGATTTTTTATCAGTAATCATTAACCAACAATTGTTTATCTCATCATACTGATCATAGAGATTGAACAATTTATTTAGTTCTTAAATTAAAAAAAACCTCTTCTTCTTGTTTTTTTTTTTTGGGGTACTACTAGTCGGTTTTTAAGCGTATCCACATTGAACAATATGAATATAAAACTCTCTCAGTGACAATCTTTTCATAGAAAAATTTCATCTAAGAACTCACTCTAAAAATCTTAAACATCACTCTATCCCCAGGACCTATCTGAGATAAGATTTTGGGAGAAGAAACTTAATTATCCTTGTAAAATTAAACCACGCCCATCAGTTTTTTATTTTTATAACTTGTTTATAAACAAATACACTTGCTAATGATTTATAATAATTCGTCAATAGCCGAATGTTTTGTTATTCATCTCGAAACATAATTTGTAAAATTAAATCAAGCTTATTAATTTTTATAACTTGTTTGTGAACAAATATCCACTTGTTACACATGACCACTTGTCAATAGTTGAATGTTTTATTGTTTATGTCAAAGCATCATTTGTAAAATGCTAAAGAGGTAGGTCATTCCTCCAAAATCTTGTTTGCAGATAGATCCCGGGATACAATAATATTTCATTTTTTAGGGTCCTTCTTTGCTATTAAAACACTACTTGATCCTTAGATTAATTTTTTTTTTCACATACAACTCTCAAATATGAGACCTTGTTTGAGCGAGCAAGCGTCAAACCATTTAAACCAATTATAGTTGATTAAATCATATATCTTTTTGTTAGGAAAAAGATTTGTTATAGTCCATCATAGTTGACTCTATCAGTAAAATTATGAACCTTACTATCTATCAATCACTGAGAATTGTGTCTTGAAACTAAAATAAATTACTTTTAAGTCAAAGTTTTCCCATATGAAAAGGAGCCTGCATTCATACAGTGGGGCAATATTTGGGCAAATGTCATAGAAATGATAAAGTTTGTGATGATCCTCATTTAGTACTATTAAAGTTTACTTTATATTCATAGCTGCACAGCATAAATGCTAAATGGCACAGCATAGATGCTAAATGGGGTCAATGTCCAAGGAGTAGGGCATAGATTCTATATAAAACTTTCCACACTAGTCACCTTCACTACAAAAAAGTTATCTTCTCACGGAGCATGAAATTATTTTGCTTTTCTTATACTTTTTTATTTTTTTCAATTCCACATTGCGGCCAAATAAGTACATTTCCTCCTCCAGTTTTAGTGTAAATGAATTTTTTTTTTTAGAAAAGAAAAAGATGAGTTGACTTTCATGTTTAATTTTTTTAATACAAAGTCACGGAGAACCATGTAAGGAAAACTAATCAAATCATGTCTAAACTCAAAAAGTTTCAGCATCCTCTCAAAATTGTCATTAAAAGTCTGACAAACAAGTCAATCTGTGCATTTATTACAAGAGTTGAGTTTCAAGTTTATTAGAATTAGTGCAAATCTCATAACTCGAGTTTGTATAAACTATAAATGTACTAACATGTTATCAACTAACAAAATCCTCATTCTAATAATTGGAACCACAGGGATTAGATTAGCATGATTATAAAACATATATACGAAGGGATCATCTTGTAAGCTCCTAGAGAATGCCGGTAGGAGCATTCACCATGGATACAATCACCAAGCAATTCAGATTCCTTCTCTGTATCTTTACAATAATGATCATTCTTTGCCACTGGTTCATTCATGTATCCCTCAAACATTTTCTTTCCCTTTATTTTTTGGTGATGCAAATTAGGGTATAGAAGTTTGAACTTAGAACTGAGTATCTACTACTAAATAGCCGTGCCGTACCTCGCACCCCTGGTTGACACCAAGCGGCTTGATTTTACTTTCTCTGTTCTCATCTTGCGCACATTCTAGCCAGATGCCATACTGGGGAAGATGAGAAAGCACTCTGTAGCTAATACTGGATCCCATTTGGAAAGATTTGAAAGGCAACAGAAGCATGAACAAAACTACAGCAATTCTCCATAGAGGATTTGAGCCATTGAAGAAGAGAAAGATATGGAATCAAGAATGAAGGTAGGGTTTCGTTCAGGAGAGACATGAAGCAGGGGGGAGTAGAACTTTGGTTGCAGAATATACAAATAAAATGTTTTGAAGTGGATGTCATTGAAAAACAAGCAAGCAAAGGCAACATTTTCTCACAAGCAATGGCTAGGGAGACTCAGGCCTCGTTTGGTATTGTGAAAGAGTTTTTGATGGAATTAAAATCAGAATTGAAATCAGAATTGAAATTGAAATTACAATAGAATTGAATTATAAAAGTATGTTTGGTATGAGGATGAAATTCTGATATAATTTTATTTAAAAAATATATTTGTCTTATTAAAAGTCCAAAATACACTTCATATTTATTGCCTCCAGCTCACCCAAAGCTCACGGAACACTCACCAAAAAAAAAAAAAAACTCATGACCCCTTTCTCGCCATCACACCAGAATGATGGAGAAGTTCACTGCCCCTGCTGTTCAGATCTATAAAATCTATCATTATTCATTACCTCCAGCGTCATCACCTGTTGCAGCACCAGCACTGACACACTTCCAGCCAAATCTCCTCCCACACATATGCTGACAACTCCTCCTGCGGGTGCTCCTCTCTCACTTGTTGCAAGCCAACCGCTAATGTCGCTGCTCCAGCACCCATCAAGTCCATGAAGAAGAGGAAGGGAGGCAAGGGTAAGATGGAGAGATGGAAGAGAGAGAAGATGGAAAGTTACACAGAATTGGATTCTGAGAAATTTGTCAGAATCAGGATTCTAAAGAATCATGATTATATCATACCAAACATGTTTTGACATGGATAATGTTTCCGTTTCTGTTTTCATATTTCAGATTCAAACCTACCAAACATAGCCTTAAAGCATAGAAGATAACATTATCAGAAAGGTAGTTTGTCCTGCAGTCAGGCAGATGGCGTATCAGTAATTTTGGATTTAAGGTTTATTTCTTATCAGTAAATTGGGTTTAGCAAAAGTTCTGAGTCTTGGGATTCTGCCCCATGTTACTATTCATATTTTAATTCCTAAATGAATTAGCATTACATGTGCCTTAAGTTACTTGTCCTGATCCAGCAAATGTATAGTGTTGATTGAGATGCTTCATATAAAGGCATGGTATCTATCTTGATATTTCACCATTTATTACTGAAGTTGAATTAACATCAGCCTTTTATTTGTTGTTCTTAATTCCTTGACTTCCATTCTACACGACTAGTGTTTCAAGTTTAATAAAAGGTAAAGATGCTGATTATTAGAAAATACAATAGCAATCTAGCAGAAAAGAGATGAAACCAACACCTGGTTATGAAATGAAGACACTGCTCTTGCCAATTCAGAAAAAAATCTTGTTGACATGCAATGCAGTTGCACTGTCAACGACACAGAAAAATCAGGCAATTTATCATTATTAGGAAGATAATTCAGATAAGAAAGATACCATATCATTTCCAAGAAGCAGCCACTACAAAAGGACAAGAAGGAAAATAAATTAAAAATGACAATATTGATTCAAAATTAACATCTGATCACTTGCTAGTATTCTCAAAGGGATTGAAGAAGATCCAGTACAGATTTCCTGTCAGGCATGCTAGGAATGGCTCCCTTCACTTGAATACAAAGAGAAGCTGCTGCAGCTGTTTTGAAGAAAACAAGAACATTGGTCAATAATATTAAGGACATATCAGCTGGTGAGTACATTTCCATCTACAAAAGAGAACATGCTTACTACTTTACATACCAGCAAATCTTAAGCACTCTTTTCTGGACTTGCCCTCCACTAAAGCCACCGCAAAAGCAGCAGTGAATGTATCGCCAGCTCCGGTAGTATCAAGGACTGTTTCAACCAAAATAGCAGGTTGTACAATTGGTTCTTCACCTTCTACGAAAAGGGCAGATCCTTTGGCCCCAAGTTTCACAAGCACTTGCTTAACTCCCTGAAAATTCAAAATTCAGAGAATTGACTTAATCACATCAGATACATAATCTCATTGAATTAATGATTGCTTTGCTAAAGTATGGCACAAGGACATTGTCGAGTTATTAATCCCCCTAAAATCAACCTCATTGCTGCACAGTGGTATTGGAACTGCTTAAATTATACTGCTTAGTGCAGTTGAGCGACAAAATGCAGGAAAAAATAATTAAAAAAATGAAGAAATACTATGTTAATTATTTTTAAATTGTTTTTTTACCTTTCCATTAACGCAATATGGTCTGCTAAATACAAATTGAAGCAAAAAGCATTGTAAAATTAGAAATTTCCACCTTTTAAAGCAACAAATTTCTACTTATAATATAACAATACACAAAATATAAGTATTTTGCATTACTTCTATATTATCAATGTTCTTCACTTGAAGTGAAGCCCTAGAACTCTATTCTTGAGATGGCACCATGGCCATCAATAAAGTGAGTCTGTCAACCATCAAACTTACAGTATCGTAACTGAGAAAGGATTTGACAAGGACCTAAGCTATTGTCGACCGTTTAGCCGTTGAGTGCAGTTTAACAAGAACCCTTGCTTATCTGGGTATCCCTTAGAGGGAACTCGTGTGGCTCTTCTTTTTCAGGTCTTGTGATACAGACCTTTTTTAGATTCACAGAAAGGGTGATTAAAATGATAAAGAAGAGTATACCACCAGTAGTTAAAGTTTTGGCAGAATATGGGGGCCATTTGGTTGGTTAAAAAGTATTCTGTAAGACTAGAAAAAGATGAGGATTCAGGTCTTGGTATAATGGTTATCAAGAACATTGTTCTAGTTGCTACTTAATTAAGGTGATTTCATTTGGAAATTAATCTCTTTGGCATAGATTAGTCAACAGTTCTTACAGTGCTGACATTCTATACAGCCCGTGCAAGCACATAAAAATTCAATGTTCAAGTATATCCTTCCTTTTGTCCTCCCCTTACCTTTCATATCGAGGGATGTTCTCATTTCTGATTTTAAAAGGGGTTCATGAGCTCTGGTTTTCAGTTTTGCAAATCCTTCTACCTATTTCAGGTTTACACCATGCTACAACTAGAAACTGTTTTATTACCTCATGTTTCTGTTTTATTACCTCATGTTTGTTTTATGAGGGTTTATTATACTAACCTTCTTTCAAGCAGGACAAAATACAAGACCTTAAACAACAACAAAAGTTTTTCTCAAGTATGAATGAAAATAACACGGTGATATAAAACTAACCATTTTATGGCATTTTGATGCAGCCTGAGTAATCTCATCAAAACTATTGGTAGATAATCCTGTAAAGCGACTGAGTTCACTTTCATTCGGACTTAAAATATCAACAGAACTCAGTAATTCTTGTGGTATTGGAGCATCTACACCACCAACATCCATTATCACTGGAACACCAGCGGCCTTTGCGGCCTGTAATTTTAAAAGCATAACAAATGATGTGAAGAAAACACAAGGCAAAAGAAAGAAGAATTAATTGTTCTTACACAAGGAACTTGAGAAATGAAAAAAATAGGGAAGGGAAAGATGATGATAGAGATTCACTACTTAAGGATGTTAGAGCCAAAAACAGCCACAAATAATGAAGTTCAAGAAGTTCAAGGGAGCATTTGCTAATTCCATTAGAAAACTTGATAATTGAGTGTATAAACCACAATGTTATGTATGTGATCACCCTTGCAGCATTCCATGCCAATCAACTAGATATAGTCATATCAGATCATGTGAACTGTTAAAGCTGTCACAAAAGAATTAATTGTCTAGTTCCAAGGGTGAGCTCTTATACTCATTTCTATCTAGAGATAGGAAAATGGAGTGCCTGCCCAGTGCTACCACAAGTCAAAATTTATAGCGCTGACCTGGGATCTCAGCCAAGCCCACTGAGGATGGGCTGGCACACTGAAAAGGCCAGCCCACGTTTTGGTTTGATTAAATAAAAAAAAAATTAGCAGCATTTTTTCAAAGCAAATTAAAATTCTTATATCTGCAATCGCAATTTACAAAAATAAATTGTCAAATTATTAGCTTTTTATGAATCACAATTAACAAATCCCAGTTCAATTCACAATCCAAAATATCATCTCCAATTCTCCACAAAATTCACAACTTCGATTCATATTTTGCAATGAATGAGGGAGGAAGAAGGATGACAATTGGAAAAAAAAAAAATAGAGTAAGGAAGAAGTTTTTTAGAAAAGAATCCGGCAGGTGCAAAATGACCTGTTTCAAAATGGGCTGCTAGCCTACTCTAATTTTACATGCTAAACAGGCCAGGGCCATTACTAGCTCTATGAATTCTATCCAATTATAATGGCCATCAATTTATTCTGTATGGACATATCAGAAGAAAGCAACTGAACCTCCACTATTCCTAGGAAGAAGGAGCAGCAAAAAGGAAGACATCGTTAAAGAAGCAAATGATAATGATGAAGTGGAGGATCATCAGGATGAAGAAGACCGGAAGCTCCAGGAGGTCATGAATCTTTTTGAAAGGTATAGCACGCAATGGCATAATTCTCTTTGAATGTTAGTCCACATGCAACATATAGCTGGCATAATATAGCGATGCTGATCGTCAACACTAGTTCAGCAAACCCAGAAGACAGAGTTCGAATTCTCCCATTACACTTACTTTGTTGAGAATTTAATTATTATAGCCTCTGGTACCTCCGAGAAGTGTTAATATTTGCAAGGTGAAGTTATATAAAAGCATCGCTCACAATATTAGCCAACATTCACCACGGACCCACGTTAACGTCTTCAAGAGAAGATAACTCAAAAACATACTAAGCTGATAAGCACAAGTCCCCAATTGATCAGTAATTTTGGTTTTAAAACTCCATTCATGACTACTCCAATGCTTGTAAATCACAAAAAATATATTGAACTGAAGAATACAAACCCAAAAATTCCCACCTTTGCCACTTGAATGTTAACAGAATCTGGGATCTCCCTCTGAAGCAGAACAATCCCTGAATTTCTCACAATCTCCAAATTCTCATCAGATAGAGATTCAGGCCACCCATTCATGTTGGCACCACCAACGACGATTATAGAGTTCTGTCCATCTGGTTGAAGCATCACCACAGCGTGCCCGGTTGGTGCAAACCCAACAGTGGTCAGATGATCGAGCCGAACCCCACCATTGCCCAAAGCCTCAGAGATCAGCCTCCCATGTGCATCCTCACCCACCTGACCCACAAAGTACGTTGGGTACGACAATTTCCCACCACAGACAGCCTGGTTAGCCCCCTTCCCGCCGGCGAGGGTTTGGCCGGTCTTCGCCGTAATGGTCTCACCCTCTTTCGGCAACCTCTCGATCTCCACGTATATGTCGGCATTGGCGGATCCGACCACCACAAGTGGAGGGCTTGTGGGAATTACTGGGGCTGGCGTGGTTTGGTTTTGGGAAGGATTTACGGAGAAACAAAGACGAGGAAACCTATGGTGACCGTGGTGATTGTTGAATCGAAGGATTTGATTTGGGTTTAATGCTCTGCCAGATTGATTTTGCGTTATGGGTTGCCAATGATTTGGAGGTGAAAGCGTTGTTGCATTCATCTTTGTTTCTCCTATCGAAGGTTGCGTTCATCTAGTGGTTTGCCTTTGCCTTTGACTTTGACGGGCCACGGTGAAAGGAAAGTTCAACTTTTATTGGGAGCTTTTGAAGAATAAAAGATAAAAGGATAAAACTTTATTTGCCTCATCCAATAAAAAATGTAATGGCATGGCTTTCCAATTAATCCAGAGAATTCCAATTACTCATTTAAGGGATTATAAGTTATACTCCTCCGTTAGATAATCAAATCTTATTTTTTAATAAAATAATTATTTTTTAAATTATTTTTATTTTTTATATTTATTTTTATTTAATAAGATGTTTCGTCATGAAAAAATATAAATAATTTATTTAATAAAGATACTTTTAAAAAATAATAATTATATCTTAAAAGATTAAAAATGATTTAGATTTTTAAGCATTTAAATTTTTAAAAAATATTTTATATTTTTAAATAGAGAGAGTAACTTTTAAGAATTACTTGTAAATGTAAATAAATTTTAAGTTTTTCATTAATTCACAGACTTTAAAAGTGTTAGCTAATTCTAATAATTGTATCTAAAATTAAAAATTTGGACTAAAATGTCCTTATAATTAATATTTATTTTTTTAATTTAATGATACTATTCATTTATGAGGGATAATTTAAAAAATGTAACAAATGTTTTTTAAAATTTATAGTTTTATTTATAAAAACAAATGAAAAATATAATATTTCTCTTATGCTATGCTTGGTTCACAAGGGATAATAAAAGAGAAAATGTGAAGTGAAAAACTGAAGAGGAAACAAAAATGATGATTTTTTTCTCTCCTTGGCTGGACAAGAGAAAATGAAAGGAAGAAAAAATTGTTAATTTTATATACACAAAGATAACAACATTTTTGTAGAAAATATCAATATATAATAAAAATTAATATTTTAACATATTATTTATATAATTTTTATTATATATTACTGACTTAATTGTAAATTATTTTATTTGATGCTAGCAAAATTTTTTTCCAATTTTAATTTTTATTTCTTAAATTATTAAATATATAATATTATAAATTATAAGGTAGAGGAAAAATTAGAATGAAAATGAAAGGAGGCAATTCGCAAAAACTGAAAAGATTCGAGGATAAATTTAAAACTTGAGTTTCTTTTTTAAATCTCTCCATATTTAAAAAAATAGTTAGAGATAAAAACATGTGAACTGCACATGTTGTTTCCCTCTTAATTCTTTTTTTTTTTCATTTTTTCTCTCATTGACCAAAAAGGATAAAATGTTATTTTCTCTCCATTTTTCTTACCCACTTTTCCCTTTCCCCTACTTTTCTTGTTAAGAACTGCATGACAGTAAAATAACAAAGGGAGTATTATAAAAGTGGTTTAGATAAATTTTAATTTTAATAGAAATAAACTGTTGTGGGTTAATATACAAATCTACTTAGAAAGTTTTTACACAAACGCACTTGATATCCTAAAATAGTTTTTTTGGCGCTGTGTAATGTTACAATGTCACCTTCCATTAATGTTAACTGTAAGTTTGAACTATAAAGTGATGATATGGCATGCCACATGTCAAATGGGCCCACATAATAAAGCCACCAGCCACGTAAACCTCCTCTCTCTCTCCTCTACCATTTTCACGTCGTTCGGGGTCCCCTTCTCCATCACTCTTCCCCCTCTTAACCCCTCCAACGAGTACTTTCAAGGGGTGAAGAGAGCGTGCAAGGAAGCATCGAAAGGTCAGTGGGATGGGGACAAGCACTGAAGGGTCGCAATCTGGTTTGAGAGTGACGAGGTTCGGTCTCAAAGCTTTGATCAATGATGGGTTCGATTTCATGATTATGTGTTTTCCTTCCTTGTCGTTTTTTCCTTATTGTTTCTCAATGTCATCATCTTTGGCTTCCTGATCTGTTGGGTATTGATGGTTCAAAATAGATCCAAGAATTGATTTTATATGTTTTTTGTTTGGATTTTTTTTTTATATAGAGCATGAACCTTGAACGCAACACGCTCTCAACCTTAGCAAAGTTTTAAATTCAAAAAAAATGAGGTGGATGTCACATGGCATGCGAGCATACAAAGTCATGATTAAAAAATTTTAACTTGTTAGTATGATTATATTTTTTGTTTGGATTTTTTCATCTGAAGATGGACCTTGAACACTCAACACGTTCATGACATCATCAAAGTAGTAAATAAAAAACAAAAGTAAAAAATCATGTGAGTGTGGCATAATGGCTATCTCGCTTCATCCCTTAAGCATGTGGTGAAGGGTTTAATTTCTCACTCATGTGAGTGGAGAACACTCTATGACCAACCGTTTGTTCTTTTATGGAAGACCCTACAGTAAAGAAATTAGTCACCGCTACCCGTGATGAATACTTTGGGCAACCAAAAAAAAAAAAAAAAAAGTAAAAGTCACATGACATGCCACTCAAGCATAAAAAGTCAAACATTTAAATTTGGGCAAAATTGTATCGTTTTTAAAAAATGCTACAAGAAGAGACTTGGGACAAGCTGTGAGGTGATGAAACAAACACGAGCAACGGATGAGTAGCGAGGTGATGGTGAGCTCCAACATGAACAAGAACCTGCTGCAGGTGTGAGCTTCAGGACTTGAGCTTCAAATGAACGATGATGTTGTGGGATGATTGTGTCGATCTTTGACTTGGTAACGGTGCCATGGCAAGGACCTCTGATGACAAGCGACTTTATAAGACTGGAACATGGGATTTAGTTTTTTTAAACTTGGCTTGTCTTCACTTTCCTTCCTCTTCATTTTCTTTTTACTATCTTAAAATAAAATTTGAAGTATTCAAATTTGGTGCAGATTAAATCTTCATGGTCCAAGTTTAAAGTTTTTATTTTTTATTTATATTTATATTTTATACTTATAATTTTTGGATTCTTCAAATTAAATTTGAATTGTTTTGATTGGTGATAAAATAAATTTTATCAAAAATTTTAATTTTAATGAATATAAAATATAAATACAAATATCAATAAACAAATGAAAACTTTAAACTTGAACCATCCAAATTTAATTTACACCAAACATGAATAGTTTAAATTTTATTTTTGAATAGTGGAGAAGAAATGAAGAGAAAAGCAATGGAGACAAACCAAGTTAATTTATTTGGGGATGTGGGAGGCCAAAAGAGAGTCTGTGGGGTGTCCAAAATGTGAAGGGGGCAGGATTTGAGGTATCCAAACTTAAACGGACTTACGAGGGCATTTCTAATACAAAATGCTCATGTGGAACTTTAGTTATATTTTATTTGTAAAAAGCTCTCATAAAATCTTTTAGTAATATTTTTAAATAATATGATTATTACTATTATTTTACTAAAAATATGATTAATATTATTATTCAAATACTATTTCTTATTTAAAATAATTTTAAAAAATAAATTAAATTTATAATAAAAATAATATAAAAAATAAATTTTTTATTTATTTTATCAAAATAAATAAAAATTTTATTTTCTGTTCATTATAATTATTAGATTTAGAAATTTATAAAATTATTTTTGAAAACAAAATATTTGTTTGCTCAACTTAAAATGAGGATTTGGTTTGAATTTCTTTTTAAACACGTACGGGACCGTTTGTTATCAGAAATGTTCCCATAAGTTATAATTTTTTCAAAAATAAAAAAGAACAACTTATGGTAGTGTTCCGGAAAATAAACACTTCCATAAGTACTTAACATACAGCAGCTTCTCATCCAAAACGCTCCCATATATTGTTCTTTTTTATTTTAGAATTGTTTTAAGCATTTACAAGAGCATTTTCATTTTCATTTTAAGACGCTTGCATATAGTTAACATACCTATATTTGAAAAACGCTTCCTATGTTTTGCCTCATGCTTTTAGAGCCTTTTTTTTTTTTTTTCCTTTTCAATATAGGCACTCTAATAACCTTTTTTCTGTAGCAGTGAAGCATGAAAAATATATAATGAAAGAAATGTAATAATGGACATGGACTTAAGTCACAACAGTAGAGTGAATTGGCTTGACTAAGGCTGTTCATATAACCAGGTTGCTTGGGATGCTCGCCCTTGCCAATAAAATTTCACCCAGCTTGTCCTAAAACAATGTAGCCCAAAAGGATTTGGAGATATCCAAGTCAAGCTAATTAACATTCAGGCCAGGCTGTGCGGCAAGCAAGGCGTGCTGCCCTGCCCATTTGGCCTTTCTCATACGAAACACACACACACACACAATATCTTTATTTTTTTTATATATCAAAGTTTAATGTTAAATCGTGTGTTTAGTTAGTGAAATGAGGGAGGACTTCAAAGAAATTGAATAATCCTTGGCTCCTCTAATTGAAATTATGGTTTTATTAAAAAATATATATATATATATATATATATAAATCACATTTTTTGAAGTTCTTGTTACATATAAAACTTCATTATGCTTACTTCTTTTTTTTTCCCTCTCATTTTACAAGTAGATTTCTTTTTTATTTCTTTTTAATTCATGGCATATTGATTTATAATTGTCTTTTGTATTTTTTTCAGATGCTTTTTCCCCCATATATTTACTAAGTTTGATTTAGTGAAGTTTTCTTAACATATAATGGGCATGGCAGCTTGATGCTATCTAGCTCAAAATGCTAGAGCATCTCACGGGTAAGACTAGACAACGGCTTGCAAAATACAGCTTGTTCATATTTCAGGCTAGGTATTGGTCAAGGGAGATAGTAGTGTTGTGGATTATTTGAGTTGTCATTGTCTTGGCTTCTGGAAAGAACGCAAGGCATGTAACATTTGAAGAACAAATATATGCATCATGAAAGCCCTTCACCACTAACAAATAGCAGTGTTTGTATTGTCCATTCGTTTGGTCAACTTATCTGATGATCCCTTTGATGTGAATATCTTTCTCTCTCGTCACATTTGCTAGAGTGGCCAACACCATGATAACCTGCAATAAACTCTAATCTCTTAGATATATCCATCATCAACATAACATGGGTGTATGTGTGTAATGACATTAATTTTCACCTTCCATGGAAGTCTTGTTGGCCATGTCAAGCAGTGACATTTCTAAGATGAAACAAACCAACAAGTT